CGATATGCGCCCGCTGAAAAAGTTGTGCATAATTGTTAGAGCAAGTATATCTAAAAAAAATTAAAAAACGCGCATTTTTTCCCTTCTTTCATGTATAACTCGGAGAAAATGGTCAAAGCAAAAAAAGTTTCATTTTGCGATTCTCTTCAAAATAAAAGTAACGAATCTAGTCGCTATTATTTTGCTGTAAAACGGCCTTGACAGTACTTTGTGTTCATTACTTCTTGAGATTTCAATTGCCGCAGGAGCATATTTGTGATATATAGGTACCTACCTAAATATAATTTTATAATGGAAGAAATTGCTATTATATTTTTCTACTTTCCATAAGTATTTTAACAAGTCTATTTTCGTTTTTGTGAAATATTCATAATAGTTTTCGTAGGTAGCTGGATTTTCTATACATTATACCGTATATTATCTACTTTATTGTTCTTTATTTTATATATAAATTTAAATTGAAAAATTTTTTTGAATCGACATTCGAATAGATCTTGCTTTCCTCTATCGATTAAAAAAAAACATCTATTTATCTGTTATAAAAGCTGAGAAAAAGTCGATTGAAGTTGCGCGAGTGAATTGAAATTGAAATTCCATCACTCCACACTCTTTGACTCTCTGATCGATTCCTTTTCTGCATCAGAACATTTAAAATACATTTCCAATTTAAACAATTTTTTATAGTTATAAAGTCTTTGCTTCAAACAATCAAAATCACTATTGATTATTATTGTACAGTAGGTACATTGTTTTGCTGTAAACTCACGGTAATTCCCGCGCGGGAAATTTTTGAATAGAACCCGTTTGGTTTGCGTGTGCATCCCGTTCCCCTGTGACATCATCGATCAATCGGCGAAGGAAAGGATTAAAATCGGTAGATCTTTGCATCATTCAAACAAATTCCTTGATTCGTTTGTTTATTTTCGAGAAAAAAAGTTTCTACAAAGTGAAATTTGTCTTCTTGTACATTAGTTTAATTATATTATACTGCTCTACTTCGGAAAAAGACCGTATGTGCAGTGTTCTGTATTGAGTGGACTGTAAGTATTTTGAAATTTTGCATTTTATTTATGGGTCGTAATTAACGCCCGATAATTTAATACAATTTGCAGATTAAAAAAATTATATATGTTCGATAAAAAAATCAAAATGTAGTATAAAATAATAAGAAATGTCTTATGTTTATTATACAATCGCTATATAAAATATGCAAATTGTACTATAAATTCTGTTCGGTATGTTAATGAAATGTGCACGAAAAATATATATAAATAATTTACGTTCACTATTGAATAAAATTTTGCAATTTATAGTAATATAAATGCTCGATAAGTCGTAATCTCTATTAAACGTGGCAACACTGTAATTATTCGCTCATGCGTGTTTACTGACCAACAGTACATAACCTCCGAAAACAAAGCCGCATGTTGTTTTTTATAATCTGCAGTGCGGAAATAAGTGTGTTGGGTTTATTATTAACGCGAACTCTTTTTAAAACCAACAATATGAGTGGCAGTGAGATTCCTCAATACAGTTCATCAGAGGATAGTTCGGATGTTGTTCTTGATCAGCCTGTCCCAAAGAAAAGAAGAAAGAAGGTTGATAAGCAGTGGAAAAGAGAACAGGTATTCAGTAACAAAGCTTTGGATGAAAAATCAGTAAAAGAAGAAGGTATTTGGAGCTTTTATCATAAAAATGTCGATACAGAGGGCAACGTTAGTGCGATTTATCGTTGTAATAAAGTGAAATATCGAGGTGAGCAATGCGCCTCAGGGGTATATTTGCATTATTCCGCAAATACTGATGATATAGTTTTATACCGATCGGAATTGCTTCATACTTGCGAAAGTATAACTACCAAAGCAACCGTTACAATAAACGAACATACTAAAACGGAAATAAATAACCTGTTCCAAAACGATTCAAAACTAGAACCAAAAAAGATTTTAGAAATTTTGGCAAAGAATAATTTACCAATTCCAAAAAAGCAACAGTTAAATAATTATTTGGCTTCTTTAAAAAAGTCCAAATTTGGTCCGAACTCGATAAGTCTTGGGGAGTTACAGCAGTTTTGCATCGATCACTCTTCAGTTCCAGAAAATGAAGATGAGGCTTTTATAATAGCGCACCAAATGAATTACGAAGACCCCCCTTCCTTTCGATTTTTTATGTCAACGAAAAATTTAATCAGACAATCACAGAATGCTTGCCATGTTCATGCAGATGCCACCTATAAGCTTATATGGCAAGGTTTCCCGCTATTGGTGTTTGGAACAACAGACAAGACCAGATCGTTTCACACTTTTGGAGTGGCAGTTTGTAGCAATGAGCAAACTGAGGATTTCATTTTTGCATTCAAAGCGCTAAGAACTGGTGCAGAGAAAATTTTGAGTGAAACCATTAATCCATCGATACTAATATGTGACGCGGCCCACAGTATACAAAATGGTTTCAAAAATGTATTTGGACCAAACGTAACAATAAAGATGTGTTGGGCTCATATGAAAAAAAACGTAAGGAAAAAAGCTGATCAATTTGTGCGTCCAAAAGAAAACATACCTAAAATCTTGCAAGATATTGATTATCTTCAGTTAAGTAAAAGTCAAGAGATATTCGATAAAGCGTCCATCATGTTTCTTTCAAAATGGGTTGAGCAAAAAGACTTTTCAAGTTATTTTGAAAGTGAATGGCTACAAATGAATCGTAACTGGTATGAAGGGGTTCACAAGAAAAGCCCAAGTACAAACAACGCCCTAGAGGCATTTAACAGAGTCATCAAAGATGAAAATACCCTAAGAGAACGGCTTCCTCTATCCCGATTCTGTGTGATACTGAAGGAGTACGTAGCCACTTGGTCTAAAAACTATTCGTCAAAATTAAAAGAAGTGCACTTAAAACCGGTTATTGACCTACATTTGTGGACAGAATCTTATCAGTGGGCTAAAGCAGAGAAAAAAATTATTTCTAAAGCGACACCATCGGGCAATGTTTACATCGTTCCTTCAAAAAATACGACTGAGGTGAACCAGGGAGATCTTGAAAAGTGCATGAATCTAGACTTCGATAATTTTGACGAATATAAGACTGTTATGTTTAGTGTATGGACAGTAACAATTCCCAACGACCAAAATGATTGGATTAATGGTGAATGCGATTGTCCGGCATTTTTTAAAATGATGATTTGTAAACACCTTGTGGAATTAGCCATACGGCTAAAACTTACCACACCACCTCTTGAAGCAAAAGCCATTCCAATTGGAGTGAAGAGACGTCGTGGGCGACCAGCCAAATCTAAAAAGGCTCTTTTAGTTCAATAGGTGAGTCATAAGTTAATGTTTTCCTGATGTATGTTCACTGTAAATACATATATGCCATTTCTTATTTCAGATAATCTCACCGATCTCGGATGAGTCAGATGTACTTTGTGCAATGATCTCTTTGTGCCTGAAGTATTTATTCCTCCGAATTAGAATTAAGTTTTGTTTTGTTAATACCTATAGATACCAATAAATTAACAATTTTCATTTTAAGTTTTGTTGCGACTATTTGATTTTTGAAATAGATTGCTACCAGAAATCCAGAAAACATGTTATTACTTTTGAGTTATGGGAGTTTGTTTTGTATTACATATTATACTGAATAAATGTTTATTTTGTGTTCACTGTTTTTGTTATTTTTGATGAAAATAAAAGTTTCTACTGTTTATGAGCTTTGAACTTGTTGAACCGTAAGTATAATCAGTTTTCCATTAAACGCTGATTCTACATTTATGGAGCATTTATTATCTTTTAACGAATATTTATAAATTTAACAAGCATTTGAATTTGGTACTGAGCGATCCCTAAATTAATCAAGCCTCTATTATTTTTTGACAAATATTTTTTAATTTAGGAAACATTTGAATTTGATACTGAGCGTTCGTTACATTTATTAAGCCTATATAATTTTTATCGAATATTTAATAATTTAGGATGCAATATGAATTTGGCATGTAGAAATTATTTTATTTAACAAGCATCTATTATTTTTATCGAATATTTATTATTTCAAGAAGCATGTAAATTTTGTACCGGGCATTCATTATTTTTATCGAGCGTTTATGATGTTTATCGAATAATTATTATTTTAAGAAGCATGTAAATTTTATATCGGGCACTCACTGTATTTATCGAGCGTTTATTATTTTTATAGAATATTTAGTTTCTTGTCATGCATATGAATAAATTAACTGGAAAATATAATATGCATTGGTACTAAAATATCGAGCATATAATTTTTACCCTTTATTTATTAAATAAATGTAACAACGTGTTGGTGTATTGAAAGTAAAAAGGTATCTATCCGAGAGTGGCGTGCTTCTTTTTTGTCCTCAACTTCGTGCCTCTCGATTGGTGGAAATGCGCGCATGCGCTTTGATGACAGATATAAAGATATACAGGGCGGCACAAACATACCCCCCACCTTGAAAGACTCGGGTTTCAATCTTGGAAGAGGGCATATTTTCGTAAATCCTCTCTTGATAATACCTTGGCTGGTTTTTATAGAAGCAACATGCGCAATCTCATCTGCTCCAGGGTGGATTTCAAAAATACGGCCTAGCTTCCAATGAGTAGGCAATGTTTGATCGTCTCGAATGACCACTAGGGCTCCTTGTTGAAGTTGAGACTTGTTGCTTCGCCAACGATGTCGTTGTTGTAGTTCTGATATGTACTCACGACTCCAACGTCGCCAAAAGTGTTGACAAAGTTGCTAAGCAAATTGAAATCGTGAAAGTTTATTTATTTTGATGTTATTTAGGTCTTCGTCTGGTGCAGCACTTAAGGGACGGCCGATTAAAAGCTGTCCAGGGGTTAGACAGGATAAGTCGTTTGGGTTGGAGGAAATTGGATATAAAGGCCGCGAATTTAAAATCGCCTCTATTTGGCACAACACCGTGGTGAACTCTTCGAATGTGAGGATTGCGTTAGAAAGAACATGTTGTAAATGATGCTTTGTACACTTCACACCAGCAAACAGCCAAAATGGGAAGAATAGGGAGGAATGAATTGCCAGTGAATGCCTTCCTTGGTGCAGTCGCTAGTGATCTGATCAGAATTTGTATTAACAAATTTGGAAAGTTCTCTTTTAGCACCTACGAAGTTAGTCCCGTTATCCGATAAAATCTTTGAGCATTTTCCTCTGCGGGATATGAATCGTCGTAGGAATGAGTCCGTAGATAAACTAGAAACTGCTTCAAGATGAATAGCTTTAGTCGCTAAGCAAACGAATAAGCTAACGTAACATTTTTCTCTTTTACTTCCCCGACCTTTTCCTCCGCGTATGATAAAAGGACCTGCATAGTCAACACCTGTGATAGAAAAAGGACTAGAAGGTATGGTACGTTCTCGAGGAAGTTCACCTATTTGTGGTTGAACATTTTTTGGCTTGAATCTAAAACATGAAAGACAATTTCTCACTGTAACTCGGGCTAAATTGCGTCCTCCAATAGGCCAAAATTCGTCCCTTATATGTGAGAGCAAAAGCTGTAGACCTGCATGTAATAAAACCTTGTGCCTGTATTGAAAAAGCAATTTTGTAAACTTGTATTTAGAATTTAACATTATAGGAAATTTTTTACCATAAGCGTAACTAGATTCTTTGAGACGACCGCCTACTCGTATGATTTGATCGGAATCCAAAAATGGAGATAAACTGGATAATTAATTTTTTTATTTCAGCTCGTGACCGCTAGATAGTTGTAAGACTTCCTTAGGAAAACATTGACCCTGAGATATTTTTGCTAATAAATTGGTTGATTTATTTAATTCACGCAAAGTTAAAGGACCTAAGCTTCGTTTGTCTTTAGGAAGTCTACAATTTTTTAAAAACCGATTAATATATCTCATTGTCCCTTGCATTTTACAGAAGCTCGAAAATCTATCGAATGGAAAATTTAAAGAAGGTTCATAAGTTTTACTTGCGAGTGATTGTGTCTTTAATTCGGGTAAAATGGAAATTTCAATATTGTTTTGAGTGGGCCAATTCTCTAATTTCAACCAATCGGGTCCTTTACACCACAGACCGCAATTTAGAATTTCCGATGGATGAAGACCTCTCGACACGATGTCTGCCGGATTGTCATATGTTGAAATATGTCGCCATTCGTATTCTTTGGTTAGGGTTTGAATTTCTGATATGCGATTTGCCACAAATACCTTTAAAACGTTTGGACTAGTTTTGAGCCATGCTAAAACAATTATGGAATCTGGCCACAATACTACTTTCTGATACTTGAGATTCATGGAAGCGATAACCTTTTCAACTATGCGGGCTAGTAAGAGAGCAGCGCATAATTCTAACTTGGGTATAGTTATTTTCTTTATAGATGCCACTTTGGACTTAGCGCACAGCAAAATTACTTGTACCCCGCCTTCAGCGTTTTTACTTCTGAGAAAGACGCAAGCTCCGTAAGCCTGTGATGAGGCATCTGCGAAACCATGCAACTCGATATCTTTGACATTTTTAACAAGCGCTTGACGCTTTAAATTTAATTTGTTTAATAGGGGCAGTTCACCCTGGAATCTTGTCCACGCATTGACAAGTGAATCTGGTAACGGATCGTCCCAAGATATTTGAGCTAACCAAAGACGTTGCATTATAATTTTTGCGACAATTGTGCATGGACTAAGAAGACCAAGCGGGTCGAAAATTTTTGAAATTATAGATAAGACTACACGTTTTGTTGCTCTTTGGGATTGAATAACTAAATCGTTTTCTATATTATATGTCAGACAGTCAGTGTGACATGCCCACATTAGACCTAAAGTTTTTGCCTTCTCGTTAGGACCTAATTCTAAAACTCCGCAATCCTGATCGGTTTTCATGTCTTTTGTAACGTCTGAACTATTCGAATAATATTTTCTAAGTTCGAAACCTCCTGTTTTTAATATAGATGAAACTTCATAACAAATGTTCTTAGCTTGCTCGATAGTATCGGCACCAGTTAGTAGGTCATCGACATAAAAGTCTTGCTTGATTATTCTCGATATTTCTGGCTTTGACTCAGCATATTCATCGGCTAATGCGTAAAGACAACGTATAGCTAAGTAGCTTGCTGATGATTGACCGTATGTCACAGTGTTCAGAATGTAAGTAACGAGCGTTCAAATAAAAACGTGGTCGAAGTTGGCTCTGACACATTGGACGTAGGGAGTAGCTTATAGCGACCAACTTAACCTCATTTCTCAATGAGCTGTATAGCAGCTGTCAGTTTCAATAACGTTAATGACTAATATAACGTTACTTTAAAGAATAATCGTGATAACAATAACAAACAATTAAAGGAGCTGCGGAAAGTGTCCCCCTCCTTGTTATAACAATAAATTAAAGCAGCTGCTGAAAGTGTCCCCCTCCTTGTTCCAAGCACTTTTCACACCTGTTCCTCAAAGAATTAAAGACATTTTCTAAGATGCTCGGGGTATTGTTAATTTCACGAATCTTGTCTATAAGTCGAGCCTGCAGATGGTTTAAATCAGGAATAGGCAGTTCAAAAATAGTGTTTTTAAGGTAAGGCCACAAAAAGAAATCACACGGCGTAATATCACATGACCTCGGTGGAAATTCATGTTCAGCATTGAGACTTATTAGTCGATTTTGGAAAACTTCCCTCAACATATTCATCGTCTCGCCTGCCGTATGTGCCCTTGCGCCATCTTGTTGAAAGTAAAAGTTTGTAATTTCGTTTTCTTCCAGCTGGTTAACAAAAGGAGCGATAATTTCTTCTCTATACCTTTGCGCAGTAAGAGTACCATTAAAAAAAATAGGTCCATAAATCCTCCTTCGATTGAGAGCACACCAAACTCCAATTTTTTGAGCGTGTAGAGGGCCCTCGACAAAAAAGTTATCTGGTTTTTCAGAAGACCACATTCTCATATTCTGTGAGTTTACGTAACCACTTAAATGAAACCAGGCTTCATCAGAAAAAAAGGTGATATTATGAAGTTCACCGTAGTTGTTTAAAAACCATTCACAAAATACAGCCCGTCGCGGAAAATCAACTTCATGAAGTTCTTGCTGACAAGTTAAACGATAGGAGAACAAACGCAAATCTTTTTTTAACACTGTGTGGCAGGTACCGACTGATACTCCCACCATTTGTGATAAAACACGTACAGAAGTTCTTGGCGCATTTTCCATTATTTGTTGGACATTTTCTTTTAATTCTTCAGTCCGCTTTTTAGGTCGGCCGCTTCCTTCTTTTCTTGTTACACTGCCCGTTTCACGAAAAACATTAACACAACGCTGAACTGCACTTTGAAAAATTTTGTACTCAACAACGCCGGGAAATTGATTTTGAAATTCTATGAAACATTCCTCAATAGAATACTTCCATATTCCATCAATCTTGCGTCCATTTCTAAAGTAGGACTCTATGATAAACACTTTTTGTTCTTGAGAAAACACCATTTTAAACGCTTTTTAAAACGAAAATATTCAAATTGATAGCGGCGATATAGCACTTTGACAGATGACGTTTAAGTTCATTTGCTATACGCTACGCCCTACGTCCAAATTTTCAGAACCAACTTGACCACGTTTTTATTTGAAAGCTCGTTACTTAGCGCTTCAGATGTGTGGAATCGCCACACAATTTTTTGTAAATGACTATGTGCCTGTGCAATTTCTACTTGCCTGTACATCTTTGCAATGTCCGCTGAAATTACATAAGCATACTTTCGAAATATGATTAATATTGAAAACAAATCATCCTGTAATACCGGACCTACTAATTGGATATCGTTTAGTGACATTCCGTTCGAAGATGGCGCTGAGGCATCAAACACGACTCTTAATTTGGTGGTTATGCTATCTGCGCGTAATACTCCATGGTGTGGAAGAAAGTATTCAACACCCGCGGCTTTGTCAACGGATTCTAATGTCATGTGCTTTAGATCTATATTCTTGTAAGAAATTGTGATATAGAAATTTTAAATCTTTATTTTTATTTAGTTTTCGTTCTAATGCGTAGAGTCGTTTTTCAGCGACAGATCTAGATTCACCTAAATACTCCGGTTCCCTTTTCAAAGGCATTTGTACGCAAAAACGACCTTCTGGTGTTATAGCAGTTGTGTTTAGAAATATTTGTTCGAACTGAATTTCTTCAGCTGATAATGGTTTTAAAACTGAGCATTCCTCTAATTCCCATAATTTTGCTATAACCGTGTGTAACTCTTGATTGTTTAAGGACAGATTGCACAAAGACCGTTGCTGTTGAATGTTACCCACTGGCCCTGCTATGATCCAACCGAAAACTGTGTTTTTTAAGGTGGTAGGTTTTTGTTTGCCACAATGAATTTCACCCGGTTGTAATAATTCCCAAAAAACGTCGCCACCTAACAGAATGTCTACTGGACCTGGTTTATAAAATTCGCAATCTGCTAGAGGTTTATTTTCCGGTATATTCAGAGAATTTAAGTTTATTGCAAAATTCGGTAAATCACCTTGAATTATGTGAGGTAGTGTAAAACAAGTTACTAGCTTTGTAAAATTTGATAATATAGGAGAACGAATCTCTATTGTACATTGACTAAATTAATTGGAACGACTATTTGCTAAGCCACCTATCTGTAAATTTACCTCTTGTTCATCTAGACCCAGTAATTTTACAAATTTGGAAGAGATGAACGATGATTGCGAGCCCCCGTCCAGAACTGCTCGCCCTGTATATTGTTTTCCGTTTTGACCTATAACTATGACATTAGCGGTAGCTAAAAGAATGCACTTTGCGCCTAAAGCTTGCAAATTATTGGTAAAAGAAGTAGCAGCTAGAGTGCTAGTATTTGAATTTGTCGAATTGTCAACTTGATCTGTGCGATTTTGTGAATTATTGTTGTCCGACCTGATTTCTTGCGTATTGATCTTTGTTGTACTTGTTGTGGCCTTATGGTTCTACCTCGAATTGGCATCATCTAAGTGTAGCAGAGAGTTATGCCACTCTTTGCACTTTCTACAGTGTCCTAATCTGCAGTTATTGACTGTGTGCCCTGTTCGTAGGCAATTTGGACATAGCTTTGATTTGTTTACAAAGTGTCTGCGTTTTTCTACGTTTAAATCTAGAAATTCCTGACAGGTATAGATTGAATGATTATTATTGCAATATGAGCATGTGAATTCTCTGCTGTTAAGTGAAAGAAGCGATTTTGAAGCTTGACCTTTTTCTCGAAAATTTGAAAATTTGTTTTGAACTTTATCTGATGGTTTTACGTTATTTTTTAACTCTAAAGTTTCTAGCGCATTAGCGCGGTTTTTTATAAATTCTTTTAGTGTTTCGAGGTCTGGTAATTTCTTCATGATTGCTGTGTGCTTTTCCCAATCACGCGAAGTGTTATTGTCTAGTTTTGAAGAAACTACAAAAATCAATAACGTATCCCAATTATCTGTTTTTTGCCACAATTGATTTAATGATCTTATATGTTTTGACAAATCATCAAGAAGTTTACGGATTTTCAAACACGATTCTTTTTATAGAGAATCTAGTGAGAAAATGGCTTTCACGTGGTTGTGAATTAATAATTTGTTATTGTCGTACCTTTCTTTCCTCGAGCGCTGACCACGCCACTGGATAGTTTGCTGCAACAATTTCTAGATTTTTGATTACCTGTGCCGCGGGCCCTTCTAGAGACGCACGTAAATAATAAAATTTGTCCATGTTAGTTAACGCATTATTTTGATGAATGAGAGATTGAAAGGTATCGCGAAACTCGAGCCAACTCTCGTAATCGCCTTGAAACTTTGGCAATGGTATGTCTGGCAATTTTATTCCATTAAAACTAGAACCATTTCCCCTGTTTGTTTGTTGAGAAGCTTGGTCTGAATGTATGGCATTTTCTAGTGCGCTCGCGTTGTTGTATTTTTCTAGTATAGATTTTGCAGTTGCCACGATTTCATAATAATTGTTTTCAAATTCGCATCGTTTTTCGTATTGTTCGTCTAGTTTTGATTCGTCAATGATCGATTCAAGTACTGATTGAATATCTAGAAATTCAATGAAAACATCCTCGATTTTTATTAATCTTTCGCGTAATTGAACGTACGTTTGATCACTTAAAACATGTTCTTGTTCTTTCTCTGTTATAGCTGGCATTGAAAATGTTTCTAAGAATTTGGAAAAGTTTGTAAATTGTGCTATTTTTGATCCGCGTTTGCGAACAAATGTTGCAATTGTTTCGTTTGCCATTTTGTTTGCGACTTATATTTGAGGTTGGATTGGATAGAAGGAATGGACTCACCAATGGTATAATTTGTTTCTTGTTTTTTCTGGTTCTTGATATTGCTCCTTATATGTGGTTCAAAGTGGCCATGTTCTGTATTGAGTAGACTGTAAGTATTTTGAAATTTTGCACTTTATTTATTAAATAAATGTAACAACGTGTTGGTGTATTGAAAGTAAAAAGGTATCTATCTGAGAGTGGCGTGCTTCGGCGAAGTTGAGGACAAAAAAGAAGCACTGCTTCTTTTTTGTCCTCAACTTCGTGCCTCTCGATTAGTGGAAATGTGCGCATGCGCTTTGATGACAGATAGAAAGATATACAGGGCGGCACAAACATGCAGTTTTGTGACAAATTGAGATAATTACATCTATATCGCATTATACCCATCTATAAATATAAAAAATATCGTTTTTGTTTCTTTAAATTTAAAAATTTGTACATTTTAAATTTCTAATATTGTGTCACTCTTATTTTCTTCGTCGCTATACTAGAAAAAACGCCGTATGTGTCTGATGCAGACTTATGTGCATGTATTTCATTAAGAGGTACATAGTATAAACGCCGCAAGTGACCACATACGACTTTCTTCTCTAGCAGAAGTGTTAAAATACTATGTTTTTAACAAATTAAATTTGTATGTGTTCACATGCGTTGTTTTAAATTAAACAACAATTAAACATTATTTGCAACACAATAATATTAAAAATTGTAAAATACCCTGTAAAAATATCCAAAACATTATGTATATGATGTACAGGGTTATTCATATAACATTTTACCTCCCTTAACTTTTTAATTTTTTGAGTTAGACAAAAATAGTTATGATAAAAGTTGTAGGAAATCTTTCTGTGAGTGTAATGAGTTTATGAAAATGGAAATTATACAGGGCGTTCCAAAGATATGCACCAAACTTATGTTTTTT